TACGAAATTAGATAGAATCACCTAGAAAGAGAATAACATGCTCGATCTGGCGTATGGACTCAAAAACAGATCACGTTTGGGCTGCCAAGTCCCTTTGACAAAGTCGATGTGCAATAAGACTGTTCGAGTACCCGACACGGAGGCCAATTGCAGACAACCCGTTAATATAAGCAAGATTTCCTAAGAGAATAAATAATATTTTCATCAAAGCTTACCTACATTTATGGTTCTAATTTCTTAATGTAGTTAAATGGGAATATGGATGGATTTATTATTATATCAGCTTTACTATTTTAATTCCCCTTGTATAACTGCTGGATTTTTGTGGTTCTGAAAGTATGCAATCTTTATTTTGGTAATATTATAAAATGTCAACCAAATATTAGAAAATACTTTACAACTGTTTAGTAACTTTAGCAACATGTTTTCATATAAATCTTATGTCTAATTACCTTAAAGGTAGATTTAAGAAAAGGTCTTACTGATCCTGTGTTATCTGGGTGAAGGCAGAGATTTCAAATGCTATTATCTGAGGTCGTCTAATTAGGAGATATCTGCTACTAGAACTCTCATCTCCTTATTACAAATTACATGTTCAGAGAAACTAGAGAAAGTATAGCTATATCTCATTTACAAAAGCAATGAAGCAGAATTTGTATGGGCCCCAAAAAATAAACCCCACAAACATTTAATTGCTCAGTGAGCTACCTAATTTCACAGTTACTAACTTTATAAAGAAATATTTAAAATGTTCGATTCATTAAAAAAGGGATTATGCACTGTAAATGAAGTTTGATCTCTATTCAGACCAACTGGAGGAATAAACGAGAAATTTCTGTCTTTATTTTCTGTTGTAAGAAGAATGTTCTTTGTAATCTTTTTAAAACAATGATGACTTACAAATCTCTGCCTGCAGCAGAGGTTCTCTCTAATTGAGCCAGAGGAAATGAGGTAGCTGCTATGTTGGTTGGCCCCATGGGGGCGCCATTCTCTTAAAAAGATAGAATTGTACAGCAGCTGTCTTCAGTCCCAGAATTTTGGGAATAATTTCGAGTACCAGAGATTGATGTTATTGTTAGGTGCCTTGGAGTAGGAACCAACTCATAGCAACCCTGTGCACAATAGAATGAAATATTGCCCGGTCCTGCGCCAACCTCACAATCGTTGCTACACTTTAGACCATCGCTACTGACTCTGCCAGTCCATCTTGTTGGCGGTCTTCCTCTTTTTATCCAACTCTACTTTACCAAGCATGATGTCCTTCTTCAAGGGACTGGTCCCTCTTGATAATATCCGAACTATGAGAGATGAAGTCTGGTCATCCTGGCTTCCAAAGAGCATTCAACACAGATTAGTTTGTTCTTTTGGCAGCCCATTGTTGTTGTTAAGTGCCATTGAGTCGGTTCCGACCCATAGCGACCCTAGTATTTTTAATATTCTACTCCAACCCCGTAACTCAAATGCATCAATTCTTCTGTCTTCCTTATTCACTGTTCAACTTTTTCACATGTTTATGAGGTTATTGAAAATACCATGGCTTTGGTCAGGCACATCTTAGACTTTATTTATTTATTTTTTCACATTTTGATATTTTTGTTTAATAAAGCTTTCCATGGTTTTGTAGCACTATCTTTTTTTTAATGTTTTATTGTGAATTATGTGATAGTTTACATGGGAGAACATTGGTTTTACTTTGGTCAGGCACATCTTAGACTTTAAACTGATATCTTTGCTTTTAACTACTTTAAAAAGGATAATGCAGCAGATTTGCCTCATGCAGCATGTCCTTTGGTTTATTGATTGCTGCTATCTGTGAGTGTTCATTCCTGATCCAAGCAAAACGAAGTCTTTGTCAACTTCATTCTTTTCTCCATTTATCTCGATGTCATTTATTGGTTCAGTGGTGAGGATTTTTGGTTTCTTTACATGAGATGAAACCCGCACTGAAGGTTGTGGTCTTTGATCTTCATCTGTGAGTATTTTAAGTCCTCTTCACTTTTAACAAGCAAGGTTGTATCATCTGCATATCACAGTTTGTTAATGAGTCTTCCTCCAGTCCTGATGTCATGTTCTTCATATAATTCTGTTTCTTGGATTATTTGCTCAGCATGTAGATTGAATAATTATGGCAAAAGAATACAACCTTGAAGCACACCTTTGCTCATTTTAAGCCATTCAGTGTTCCCTTGTTCTGGTCGAACAACTGCCTCTTGGTCTATGGGCAGGTTCCTCATGAGCAAAATTAAATGTTGTAGAATACTCATTCTTCACAATGTTGTCCATAGTTTGTCATGATCTACACAATTGAAAGCCTTTGCATAGTCAGAAAAGCACAGATAAGCAGCTTTCTGGTATTCTCAGTTTTCAGCTAAGATCCATCTGTAGTCAGTAATGATATCCCTCAATCCAGGTCCTCGTCTGAATCCTGCTTTTAAACCTTTAGCAGTTCCCTGTCAATGGATGGTTGCAGCCAGTTTTCAATAATCCTTAGCAACATTTTACTTGCATGTGATATTAATGATAGTGCCCAATGATTTGTGCATTTCGTTGGGCTACCTCTCTTTGGAATGGGCACAAATACGGATCTCTATCAATCAGCTGGCCAGGTAGGTGCCTTTCAAATTTCTTGGCAAAGATGAATGAGTGCATCCAGTGCCATGTCAAGTTTGTTGAAAGATTTCAATTTATATTCCATCAATTCCTGGTGCCTTGTTCTTTGCCAATGCCTTCAATGATGAACTTTGGAATTCTTCCTTCAGTATCATTAGCTGTTGATCATATGATACTTCTTGAAATGACCATTTCTTTTTGGTACAGTGACTCTCTATTTCTTGCATCTCCTTTTGATGCTTTCTGCATCATTCAGTATTTTGTCCATAGACTCCATCAATCTTGCAAGTGAAAGCTTGAATTTTTTCTTCAGTTCCCTCTGCTTGAGAAATGTTAAGTGTGTTACCTTGGTTTTCTAACTCCAGGTCTTTGCACATTTCGTTATAATATTTCACTTTGGCTTCTCTAGCTTTCCTTTGAAAGCTTCTATTCAGCTTTTTTACCTCCTCATTTTTTCCATTTGCTTTTGAGCATCTCTGCTGGAGTACAAGTTTCAGAGTCTCTTCGGATATCCATTTTGGTCTTTTCCTTCTTTGTTGTCTTCTTAATGACCTTTTACTTTCTTCCTGTATGATGTTCTTGATGCCATCCCATAACTCTTCTGGTCATCAGTCTTTACTGTCTAATATATCAAGTCTGTTCTTAAGATGATCTCTAAGTTCAGGTGGGATATGTTCAAGGCCATATTTTGGCTCTCGTGGACTTGTTTTTATTTTCTTCGGCTTCAGCCTGAACTTGCATATGAGCAGTTGATCGTCTAGTCTTGACCCTGGCCTTGTTTTGGCTAATGATACGGTTACACTGTGTCTTTCCACAGATATAGTCAATTTGATTTCTGTATATTCCACTGGTGAAGTCCACATCTTTGTCTTAGAAAATTCTACCATGCAATTTCCAGCATCGTTTCTGTCACCAAGGCCATAATTTCCAACTACTGATCCTTCCTCTTTGTTTCTAACCTTTGCATTCCATTTACCACTAATTATGAGTAAATCTTTATTGCATGTTTGATCAATTTCAGATTGAAGAACTTGGTAGAATTTTAAAATTTCATTATCGCTGGCTTTTAGTGGTTGGTGCATAAATTTGAATAATACTGATATTAACTAACTGGTCTTCCTTGTAGGCGTATGGATATTTTCCTATCACAGACAGCATGTACTGCAAGACAGATCTTGAAATGTTCTTTTTGATAATAAATGTGATGCCATTCCTGTTCACTTTGTCATTCCCGGCATAGTAAACCATGTGATTGTCAGATTCAAAATTGCCAGTACCAGTCCGTATCATGTTTACATGTTTACATGTTCTGTTTTATTTTTGACAGTTTCCAATTTTCCTAGATTCATACTTATTACATTCTATGTTCTAATTATTGATGGATGTTTACAGCTGTTTGTCTTCACTTTGCGTTGTGCGCCTTCATCTTTATGTCATACTCCATTCACGTTATCATGATCAGCTCCTCTTTGAGGAGGCAGCTCTTCCCATGTCATAATTTCAGTGCCTTCCAACCTTAGCTGCTCATCTTCTGGCACTGTATCTGATAATATCCTGGTGTTCTTCATCATGTTCCACTGGTATTCATAAGGTTTTCTGTGACTAAATGTTTGGAAGTAACCTGTCTGTTCTTCCTAATCTGCTTCATCTGGAAGCTCATCTGAAAACAGTCCAGCATTTAAAATACAGGTGGCATAGCTTCTAGAATTGCAGCAACTCACAAGCCACCACAGTCCATCAATCTGACAGAGGAGTCCCACAGATTATCACATACTTCTTAGAAGACATTTTGTATTCTTATTTTTAATTCATAAAAGGTGAGGGGAAAAGACGCACACTGTGAAGATCAGAATGAATTTGGAAAAACAATGTCAATTCAAGACAATTGAGTTAGCTTCAAATACATACTACTATTTAATCAGTTTCACAAATATTTTCAAGTACTGTACCTCATATAAGACAATTGTGTATATCCGTTAGGACATACAGAGATGAACATGACAAGGAAAGCCCTCAGGGAAAATATATTACGAAATCTCTTTTATTAGGAAAAAATAGTGTATGCACACAAATATAATTAGCTTGAGCTAAACTGACCAACTTGCCCAATAAAGAAACTTAGTTTTTTTAATTAAAGTAGAAAAAAGAAACAACTGTTCGACAGATTTATATCCTCTTGTTAGGAAATCCCTTGAAAAACTGTTTTAGTGGCCTAGTTAGAACTCAGCTTGCATGTCAAGACCTAGTTTATCGTATCTCTAGAATTTAAATTGAAATTGTTTGAATTATATTCATTTGGTAATATCACACATGAAAAGATCCTCAATAAAAACCTTTGTGTCGTGATGACACATACTGTATCTCAGATCTCCTCTTTTTTCACTCCTTAGGGTTCTGTAGCTATAGCTGGTGCTGTTATTCGCTGGCTGAGAGACAATCTTGGAATAATAAGTACCTCAGAAGAGATTGGTAAGCATGTTCTAACCAAGGACTAGAAAATCTGACTAAAGAAACTGTTTACTATTTTACCACCAGAACCTGTGCCGCATGTGTGGTATTAAATTGTACAGATTCCTTATTATGAGTTGGAATCAACATAAAAGACTACTTTGTGAAGATTGATTAAAAACACCCAACAGATAAAATTGATGATGGTTCTTGGTGTGGTGCTGTGGGTTAATGTGCCAGACTGCAAAGTTGTTTGAACTGCAAGGTCGGTGGTTCAAGCTCACCAGCTGCTCCTTAAAAACCCTATACAGGGTTGCTATGGGTCGGAACTGACTCGATGACACTTCACAACAAAACAACAACAATTAATAAACTGGCAAGGTTGGGCATAAAAGTTGTCCAAGCATAAACTTGGACACCAAAGATTGCCAGACATACAAGTAAGATGGTTGTTGTTAAGTGCCATCAAGTCAATCCCAACTCACAGCGACACCTAGAGGGTTTCCGAGTATCAGCTCTGGGTTTGAACCGTTGACCTTGTGGGTTTGCAGCCTAGTGCTTATCCTACAGTGCCACACTAGGAGTCCACAAGTAAAGTAGTAGTTCAGCTAAATGTATCTGATGAGAAAGAACTTTAACTCCTAGATTACAGTGAACATTAATGTTTTGGTACCTCTAATTTGAGCCTTAATATGCCTATTTTAAACGAGATGGATTGGCCAAGTGGCAGCATCGATGGACTGAAGTGTAGGATCAGGCAGTGTTTCGTTCGGCTGTGCAGTATGAGTCGGTGTCCGACTCGATGGCACCTAACAAGAACAACATGACTATTTTCATTCTATAGGTATAATAATTTTGATCTCACAGCTTTTCCTTGGAAACCCTATACAGGGTTGCTATGGGTCGGAACTAACTTGTTGGCACTTAACAACAAAAACAACAAACCCCTTCCTTTGGAGTCCTGGTGTGGTGTGGTGTAGGTTAATAAGCTGGACTGCAAAGTCGCTTGAACCACAAAGTTGGTGGTTGAAGCTCCCCTAAAACCCTATACAGGGTTGCTATGAGTCGGAACTGACTCGACGGCACTTAACAACAGCAACAACACTAACTGGCAGTTCAAACCCACCAGCCACTCCTCAGAAACCCTATACAAGGTTGCTATGAGTTGCAATTGACTTGAAGGCACTTACAAACAATAACAGTAACCCACTCATTCATCTGCTTCTTTTACTTTGCTGGAAGGTGCAACAATCATAAACCATATTTCTGTATATAGAGATGTGCTGGAAGCCACTTTTCACCACCTACTTTGGTACAGTAGTGGTAAAGAGTTGGGCTGCTAACTTCAAGGTCATCAGTTTGAGACTACCAGCCATTCCATTGGAAAATGAGGAGGCTTTCTGCTTCTGCAAAGATCTACATCCTCAGAAACCATATGCAGGGTTACTATGAGTCTGAACCAACTCCACGGCACACCCCCACCACCCCCACCAGTCAGTCATCAATATTAAAAAGTAGTGAGAATGACTGAAATGTGTTGCTGAAACTAAACCAGTTCCTTTATTGCTTATGTTAAGTTACATTAAAGTGGGGGCATGTAGGAAATTTCATTTTTCTTGTTCCCTACAATATTGTTGTAAGTGGGAACAGGGCATTTTACTGTGTCAAAGAGTAGAAAACCAAAAGCCTCGTCTTACTTTTTTTTTTGTTTTTAAAGGTAAATTGATTTATTTTTGTGACAATTCAACTGACCAAGCATTTTATCTATTTTTTATTATTATTATTATTATTACTGACTACTGTTAGTTTAAGGATTGAGATTGCTGAAGTTCACTTACTGTGTCTGTTGAGTACATTTAGTTTTTTCAAAGCTCCCAGTTGTGCCAGCAACCTCCTTAAAGTCATTCCCACTTTACCCTCTGTCACCAGACTTTTTGTATAAGATATTTTCTTTCAGTTGTAAAAGCCTAAATAAAAAGCTTCATTTTGACCTTTTGACTTTCAAAACACTATTAAAAGCATCCTTTTTTTTTTTTGAGAAATCAAGTGTTTAAAAAACAATAATTACTTAAGTTATTGAATAAAACAAGTAGGATGCTTTTTTTTTTTTCTTATAGAAAAACTTGCTAAAGAAGTTGGTACTTCCTATGGCTGCTACTTCGTGCCAGCATTTTCAGGGTTATATGCACCTTACTGGGAGCCCAGTGCAAGAGGGTAAGTATTGTCTGTATCATGGTTTATTTACTCAATTAAGTTAGTTTATAAAGTTATTTTCAAATGACTTTTTTTGTTGAGGAAATCTTTTTCTCTTTGTGGAGACTCCTAAAACTCTTAAGTTATAAGTTATCAGACAGTAAGTCCCTGCCATATCCCTGTTAATGTTATTCTTTATGTTCAAGGTCTCTGAGAATTGTGTAGCAAAGGGATGTCATTTAAATGAGTACTCTTTTCATATTATAGTATTTGCACCCTGTTCAGAGGGATCATGAATTTTTTTTCATATGTGGGTACAGGATTGCAGACTATAAAGATTTCACCAAGTAATGTTTATTTTTTACTCTCTTTCTCCATTTCTGTCCACTGAATCCAACTTTGCCATGTGTATCTATTTTGGATAGTTTAGATTGCTGACTCATATATAGCATTACTAATGGTAAACATTTCTGTGTTTTCAGGATAATCTGCGGTCTTACTCAGTTCACCAATAAATGTCATATTGCTTTTGCTGCTTTGGAAGCTGTTTGTTTCCAAACCCGAGAGGTAATAAATATGAACCTGTTTTCTTATCTTGAATCCACTTTAATCACTTTTACACAACATATGGATTATGTCTGAAATTTATGAAATACTTAACAAAAAAATGAAGCCTTGCCTGTACATGAATCTAATAAATACAAGATTCCCCACCCCACTTTTCCAGCTGTCTTCACCTTCTAAATTTCTGTTTTGGTTAGAATATTTCGTGATGGGGGTTGCTAAGTGGTCCATATTAGGCAAAGGTGATAGCAAAAATGTAAGCATGAAGGCAGGAAGCCAAGGTACACAAATAGAATTGTTGGTGTAGGCAGAATTCAAAGATGTAAGAAGAAAGGTTGTTGTGACCAGGTCAAGGAAGGCTTGGAAGACCAAGATGAGAAGTCAATATTTTATTCTGTATACTTTTGGAAGCTACTGAGGATTTTTGAGTGGAGGATTGCCACTTTCAGAGGTGTTACTGTGAAGTAGTTTAATTATGTAATTGCGTTTGGTTTATTGAAGATTTTGGATGCCATGAACCGCGATTGTGGAATTCCACTCAGTCATTTGCAGGTAGATGGCGGAATGACCAGCAACAAAATTCTTATGCAACTCCAAGCGGACATTCTGTATATTCCAGTAGGTTAGTAAGCCTTCATTCTCTTCAGCTCTAAGTGTAATGTTTCTTTTAGCAGAAGAATGGATTTTAGGCATATATACCGGCAAAGATGTTGACGTAGATCTCTCCCCACAGTGAAGCCTTCAATGCCTGAGACAACTGCTCTGGGAGCTGCCATGGCAGCGGGGGCTGCAGACGGAGTTGGTGTCTGGAGTCTAGAACCTGAGGATCTGTCAGCGGTTACGATGGAACGGTTTGAACCACAGATCAACGCTGAGGGTATATTTAAAGAATGAAATTTCTAATGATACACAGTAATGCCCCACATAATATACATTTGCACGACATCTGCCTTCATAAGTGCGCCCGTGGACCCATAAGTTTATAATAGAGTTCAGAAATCCTGATTGGAAAACAGGATGTAGGGAACGAAACGGCATCCGGTACACAACAGGTGTATCTCTTTTATTCGAAGGGCTTGTGCTGCCAGGTATATAATGGTATGGTACATAGTTTTTTTTTAAGGAGTCCTGGTGTGGCGCTGTTGGCTAATGCATCAGACTGCAAAGTCTTGTGAACTGTAAGGTGGGTGTTTCAAGCTCACCAGCTGCTCCTTGGAAACCCTATACAGGGTCACTATGGGTTGGGATCGACTTGACGGCAGTTAACAACAGCAACATAGTATTAAAATCTCAAACCTGTTGCCGTCGAGTCAATTCCAACTCATATAGGGACCTCGAAGACGGAGTAGGGAGACCTGGTGTGGCGCTGTGGGCTAATGTGGCAGACTGCAAATCCCTTAGAACTGCAAGGTCTGTGGTTCAAGCTCACCAGCTGCTCCTTGGAAACCCTATACAGGATCGTTATGGGTCAGAAGTGACTCGATGGCACTTAACAACAACAACAACGAAGGACAGAGTAGAATTGGTACACAGGATTTCCAAAGCTGTAAATCTTCCGACTGCCACATTCTTCTTCCATGAAGAAGCTGGTGGGCATGTGTTGATAGTCAGAATAAACACCTGTTACTGGCATATGTGGGGTCCTGGTATGGCGCTCTAGTATAAATCACTTGGCCGCAAGGTCGGCTTGAGCTGGAGTCTTGAATAGGGGTTGAGCAGGGTCGCTGTGAGTCAGAACTGACTCTGGCATTTCACAACATCACCAACAACTACTGACTCATGTATGTACTGCACTGTCTATTCTATCTTAAAAAGTTTACCACATGCATTGGATGCTTCTCCTCATAGGTGCAATCTCATGCATTATGTGTCTCTTGAGTGTTGTAGCATCATTTCTCTAATTTCCTTTCATAAGCATTACTGTGAAGTGTATCATGGCTCCCAAACACAGCAAAACCAGTATTAGTGAGAGGAGAGAAGCAAGAGGCAAGGAAGTGTCAGTTTGGATTTAAATTGAATGGTTATTAAACACAGAGATGGAAAAACCTGTGATGTAGTTGTGTCACACTCAATATTCACAATTATCCTCAAAAACAAAAACTTCTCCAAGCTAGTAAAGGATTGGTTCCACTGAAGCTACAAGGCTAATCAAGAGGGACCAATATCAGATACGGAGAAATTGCTAATGTCGTGGATTGAGGACACAACACAAAAGTGAATGTCTCTCAGCACATTGACAGTCACTGCTAAGGCACAAAGCCTGTTAAAGGTGCATAAAGAAAAAGCAGTACTGTGCTACTATACGGTGTTCATATAACATCCAAACCTATAGCATCGTAGTTCACAGAATGTATCATGAACATTAAGCAGTACTGTGCAAAAACAATCATATTTAGTGCACAGGAGTTTGCCTTTCTCTTCATAAATTAAGGAACAAAGTCGAATAGTACCTGTTCCTGTTTCTGATTTATCTCCGCTTTTTGTACATATCTGTATAAGCATACTGAACTACACTGATGAGTAGGAATGAGAAATATAGTTCTTTATTTTAAAAAAAGGAAAGGCAAAACCATCTACAATCATCTCTTTTTACCATTCTCTTGTATTGTTTATATCCTTTCCTGTAGGAAGCTAACACCGCCCACTGTCAGTTACAGCTTATTGTTGTCATTCAGTGCCTTCAAGTCAGTTTTGCTTCAGCAGTCCTGTGTACAACAGAACAAAGCACTACCTGGCGCTGCACCATCCTCTCGATCATTCCTGTCTTTAAGCCCCTTGATGCAATCACTGTGTCATTCCGTCTCATTGAAGGTCTTCCCTTTTTCACTGACCCTCTACTCTACCAAGCACAGCGTCCTTTTTCAGGAATTGATCTCTCCTGATGAAACCTTGCCATCCTTGCTTCTAAGGAACATATGGCTGCACTTCTTCCAAGACTGCTTTGTTCGTTCTTCTGGCAGCCCTTGTTGGTACAGTCAATTCTTCATGCACACCATAATTTGAAGACATCAATTCTTAGATCTTCCTTATTCCATGTCCACCTCTCACATGCACATCGGATGATTGAATATACCATGGCTTGGGGTCAGGTCACCTTAGTCCTCAATGTGACTTCTTTGCTCTTTAACATCTCTAAAGCAGATTTACCCAATGCAATACGTCCTTTGCTTTCTTGACTGCTGTTTCCATGAACATTGTTGTGGATCCAATTAAAATGAATTCCTTGAAAACTTAAATCTTTTTCTGTTTTTAAAAAGGGACAAGGTAGTTTTATCAGCCATATTGTCTAGACTGGTCATCTTTGTTGTCAGTGGCCCTCTGTAGGACACAATTAGCTGGACTAATGGACACAACTTTCAAGTCAAGCAGGGTTGCCCTGGCAAGCGCAGCAACAATTTAAAAATAGACATTTAATATCTGATTCATTGTCCCAGTAAAGCTGAGCCATAAACTCTGATTGGTACCTCTATTAAAATACAGTGATACATCCGTTAAAGTAAAATAAATGTGAGTCGAAAATAAGGTTCTGTATATTAGATTCGGTTTTATAACTTTCTAGAAATATGTGCATAAAATAGCTCAAAGTGGTTTTTGAGCCACTAGGAAATAAGCTTCCAAATGCATTTTTATGGAGTTTTCCAGAAGGCTAAGCCAGTGTTTCTTAATTTATTTCATTCTATTCTATGTATAAGGAAACAAATTTGTTAACACTAGTAATTTTATCATCTGGCAGTATACCATATACCTCAGAAGTAATTATTAACTTTTATAATGTTGTAGTGAAGTGCTATCAAATCTGTTCTGGTCCATAGCGACCACCCTGTATAGGGTTTCCAAGGAATACTGGTGAGCTTGAACCACCAACCTTGTGGTTCAAACCTACTTTGCCAGTCTAGTGCATTAACTCACAGCGCCACACCAGGACTCCCTTTATAATATGAGATATAAAATACAAATTCCAAAAAAATTTTTCTACTTCTGAAAAAAATCTAATAAAACAAAATTTATAACTAAACTCACTCTCAAAGCAAGTCAATTTTGTGCAGAAGGTTAAGGATTATTGTTTTCTGAGAATAACCATCCCTGCTTACACTTTTACTTAGAGTTATTGTTCAGTGTTGAGGAGTCAATTCTGACTCATAGTGACGCTGTATATGGTTTCCAAGGAGTGGCTGGTGAGTTTGCACCACTGACCTTGTGGTTCAAATCGACCTGGCAGTCCAATGCTTTATCCCACAGCACCACATCAGGACTCTGAGAATTAGATAAGTTATATTGAATGTCTTCCCCCTTCCCCAGCTCCCCTACACACAAATCATGCAGGAATGGACATTTAAATATAAATAGTTCAGTCTTCCTGTAAGCATTTGTTTAGAACCTATTAAAAGCCAGAGACTATGCTTTACATTGGGATTTAGAAATTGATAATAATAAGTCTTTCCCCTTCAGGAGTCTCAAGTAGGTTGGGAAAGGTCAACATAACCATAAAAATTCAGTATGACAGTAATTCATCTGAGGTATGTGTTGTTAAGTGCTGTGGAAATATGGCAAAATGGCCAAAAATGAAGAAAATTTTCATCGTTGAGAATTTCATCCAATCACTTCTGATTCATAGTGACCCTGTGTATAACAGAAAGAAACACTGCCAAGTCTGGCGCCCTCCTATTATGTCTGAGCCCATTGTTGCAGTTACTGTGCCAATCCCACCTCATGGAGGGTCTTCCTCTTTTTCCCAAACTCTCTACTTTCTCATGGGAGGGATACTTGAGCAAGTTTCTGAGCAGAGTTTGTGGAAAAGCTGAGCAGAAGCTAGACAGAAGGGAGTCCACTGGTAGTTTGGTATGGTTAGGGGAAGTAAGAGCATGTGCCTGAAGGCACCAGTGTCCACATTAAATGGGGAGAAGAGGCTATCTCATAATGCTACTTCATGAATCTTGTGCAAAATCAATATTAAGGTGCTTCAGAAAGTTCTGTGGGAAAAAAAAGACTTGAAAGTTGATGAGAATTTCCACAACGTTTTTTGAAGCCCCATAATACTTGTTAAATCTTTTTAATGGACCAAAAGCAATTCTCCTTTTAGTCTTTGCCATATTACAGTAGATCCATCCCCTCATCCTAAGCTGCCACCACCACCACACAAAAAAAGAGAAAACAAACAGGAACCCCCCTCTTAATTCAGCACCTCTTGCTTTATGAATAGTTCCAGTGTTCTTAGCAGTGTTCTTCCTAGCATGTCTCACAAGTCTTCCTTCACCTGCTGACCTTTCCTGTCATGTTTTATCCCTGTTTTCCTTGTAAACATCTCTCCCAATTACTGGCCTCACCAGCAAATGTTCTCTCTTAAATCTGAGTGTTGGGAAAGCTCAACTTCAGTTAAATATGTGCAAGAATTTGCTAAGACTGCTGGTGCTTAGAACATCGCTGTAAATGACTCATGTGATTTTTCCATCTAATTGCAGAAAGTGAAATTCGTTATTCTACGTGGAAAAAGGCTGTGATGAAGTCAATGGGTTGGGTTACAACTCAGTCTTCTGAAAGTGGTAAAGATGCTTTACTGTTTGTTTTTGTCACTTTTTCCTAGTATAATAGTTTATGTCAATATCTGATCATGTATAGTTAGCAAAAGATAACTGTTGGTTGCTCTGAACAAAAACATTGCCTTTGTCAAGAGTTTCTTATATTTTCAAAGCACTTTAAAATTCTAAATTTAAAATCTGAGTTTTCAGGTTGATAGAAATGATTGAACCCTCCTTTGCCTTATCTTATTGGTTTTTTGTTGGTGCTTCAATTGATAACTTTATTTTCTAAATGTAAAATGATTTCTGGTTTCTTCTTAATGAAAAAAAAAATTAATGGATTTTTTTTTTTAATGGTGTTCTCTACCTTTTTGGGAGGCTGTCTTCATGATGTGAGTCAATTGAAAGCTATATTAATTTCAGAATATATTTCACTACTTCCTACACTGATTCCAACTACTTAGCAAGTATACCTACAGCTAAGACACATCAAACCATAAATGGGAAATGTCTTAAGAGATTGGGAAATAGTCTTGTCAGAGAATAAAAGAGCCTTCTTTCCCCCCCTTCTACCCCAACCTCCCCAGTCTTTAGGTGGGAAGGCAAAATTGGCCTCCCAGTTTTGGGTTTTTTCCTCCCATCCTTTTTCAGTACTCGGGTAGGAAGGTATGTAGCTGAAGTAAGCCATTTAGTTGTAAACAGCCCTAAGTGAGTAATATAGCATAGTAATATAGCTTTTTGTTAAATGAAAGATTTATTGCAATAGTTTAATTTCATTTTTCTTTAAATATTTTGTTCTGGAACTCAGTTTCACATTCCAAGGTGGTGACAAACCTGTTTGCAGTCTTGAACCCCTTTATAATCAAGCTTCTAAATAATTTCTACCACTAGGGCACTGACTTCTGGTAACCATTAATTTTAAGGACTTATGAGAAGTTATATCATTTTCTTTGACTTCTTGGATTTTGTTTAATGACACATGCTCCCTTTCTCCCTCCTTCCCCTCCATCCACCCACATTTTCTTTCTCTCACACTTACTAGTGGTTGTTGAGTGCTGTCTAAGCCGGTTCCAACTCAGCACCCTAGTGCTGATCTAATTTTCATTGCAAATTTTTCATAAAGCCAGTTGATCATTTTCTCAAGCCAATTGACAGTAAATATAATTTACTATCATCATTAAATTTAAAGTTCCATGAAAAAAGCTAATAAAAGAAAACTTTTTACTGTATTTCTTCACGTCCCACTCAGCATTTGATTTTTCCAAGCTTTATAGATTTTTTTTTTTTTTTCCGTTAGACTGTAGTGGATTTAAATCAAAGTTTGAAATCGTTTTTGAGTAGAGTTATTTATAATAATTTTAAGATTTGGGGGATCTTGCTAATCTATATAATGAATTCAGAGTAAAATAATATGATGAAATGCTATTTTTAATCCCTTTAAAAGTTATATGATAATAGCTGTACAGATACAATACTACTTTTTTATATCTGTAAACTTCAAAGGATATTAGAATTGCTACCTCCTGTTTTATCCTTTTTAAAGTACTTTAGTCTATGGGAAGAATATTATGTTTACTTAATTTCCTAACCAGTTAATTAGCCAATTCTGAAGTAGTCTTATATGTATTTTCTTAGTTGTACTATACTTATATGGAGTCCTGGTGTGGCACTGTGGGCTAATGCGTCAGACTGCAAAGTCGTTTGAACTACATGGTCGGTGGTTCAAGCTCACCAACTGCTCCTTGGAAATCCTATCATACAGGGTCGCTATGGGTTGGAACCGACTTGACGGCACACCACAACAACTATGTTTATATGCATTATAAATGATTTTTAAAGTACTTTTAATGTATTTTTGGTATGTTTTGAGAGATAACTTAAAACGAACCAAAACAACATTTTGTAAGCAGTTCAAGTTGATTCAAAGTTCATTACACAGCTATCAAATAACAAGCATAATATATATGTATGTCGCCAGAGGGGAACGATCCCTATTCAATAGATGCCATCTATATTTGTAAGGACTTGAGGATGCAGCTAGTTCTCTCTAGTTAGAACTCACTGCATCCTGCATCCACATCAGGTAATGAGTTTTTTTAACTGACAGGTCAGTCTATCAGACCTGGAAAACGTTCTCTTGGTGCCACTGTATGGCAAGCACTGAACTTACCTTACAGTTCACACCCACCAGGCCCACTGAAACTTTTTTGCTCCCATAAAGACTTTACAGCCTTGGAAACCCTATACAGGGTCACTATGAGTCAAAATCCGACTAGATGGCACATGGATTTTGTTTTTGCTGTTGTTTTGGCCCTAAAGTCAAATGAAAATATTGTTTCTACAAATATGGAAACAAAAAGGAGCCTTGTTGTTTTTGTTTTTTGAGAAATATGGGGGGGAGCGGGAATTGTTTCTGTCCTCTTTAATGGGAAAAAAAAAAAAAAATCCTCTCCCCATAAGCAAAGAAATAATTTTACCATAGGTTTCTTATTTCTCAGAATATGTGCACAGGGAATTTTTCACAAGCTCTCTAGAGTTCAAGGAAACCCCTTTGCCTAATGATTCTGTGTTCTCAACTCTTAGGCCTTACTTCAAAACTTCTTAATAAAGAGTGTCAGTTATTCTTGAAATAGAATTTTAATAGCCTTTAAAGGAAAGGATTCCAAGAGAATCCAGGTTAAAAAGTATCAAAACGATCATGTTCACAGGTGATTTCTTGTGTAATTATGAGATTAAGCCATTTAGTCTTTATAAGTGCAGTAGCGTAGTGGTTACGAATCGGGCTGCGAACCTTAAGGTCAGCAGTTCGAAACTACCAGCCGCTCCGCGGGAGAAAGATGAGGCTTTCTACTCCTGTAAAGATTTACACCCTTGGAAACCCTGTACAGGGTCGCTATGGGTCGGAACCGACTCGACGGCACTTCACAACAACAACAACAACAATATTGTCAGGTGCACTTCCTTACAAATCAAATGATTTCTAAAAAATAATACAATAGAGCTAGTATTTTAGCAAAAATAGAGTTCAAAGTTCATTTTTCAGTAGACCAATTAATACAATTCTTCTCTGATACCCAAAGGATCAGTGAATTGAATCTCAGGGAATTGAATTGCTCATTTAGTTATCATTTGGAGAAGAGTCAAGAAAACTTAAAATCACAGCCTCCCAAAAAGTTCTTCTTGGGCTCCCTTTGGCTTTGCCAGTGGAAAGCTTGTGTTGATGTTTCTGTATGTTCTTGGCTGCTTGTGGCATGCTATCTGTACTGTTTGTTAATGATCATAAACCTTCAGTTGATTATATTTTTGTTTGAAGTAATAACTCTTTGCTAGCTTTTATGAATATATGATTTTTGTAACTTATTTTGTTTTGCTATCATGTGATTCTTAACACAAATATTGTAATTATGTGTCTCTCTTTTGGTTTGCTTGACTGGAATTCTCTTCTACTTGGATGACCACAGGTGACCCTAGTATCTTCTGTAGTCTGCCCTTGGGCTTTTTTATAGTGAGTAGCATGGTAATGTTAATCGGAGCAAGGTACATCTCAGGTTAGTTGCTCTTTAAATCAGACAATTTTATTAGTTAGCATTAATGTGTTTATGTATTACTTAGCAGAAAAGTTGTCCATGTTTTTTATTCTTCCTATGCTTGTTGTTGTTGTTGTTGTTGTTGTTAAGTGCCGTCGAGTCAGTTCCGACTCATAGTGACCCTATATAGGGTTTCCTAGATACAACTGGTAAGCTTGAACCACTGACCTTGTGGTTCAAACTGATCCTTGCAGTCCAGCGCATTAACACGCAGTGCCGCAACAGGACTCTTATGCGTAGAAACCTGGAAAATCAATTATAGGTCTCAGTTAGACCAACTACTGACTTGAGGCAGTCAGAATTAAGCACTGCTTAAATCGTCCTGGTTTTTTTTAAGCAGATGATTTCTTTGAGGCACTACATTTCGCTGCCAGTTGTCACTATAATTAAAAGTGAAAGTGCTAATATGAAAGAACTTTACAAGTGACTGGTGAAAGTCAAAGTCTTAATTTCTGACATTGGTTAAATTGGCTTTCAAATATGCATAAATTGTTTTTCATACTTCTGAAAATATGCTATGCAACTCTTAATATTTCAATTCGGGTAAGAGTTTCTGTCCAGAGGATGTTTCTGTAAAGCTATTAAACTGAGGACAATTTATACTCATTTATCTTAGTTAAAAGCCTAATTGAGTATTTTGTGGCCTGAAGTATTTTTTCCCCCCCCAATTAGGGCTTAAATAAATTGTGGCTGAAATTAAAACCAACTTATTATTGTTGCATATTAAGTGAATATACTGTTATGCAAGTAAAATTATACAGTATGGCATCAAATATATTGCATAGCCTGTGTTCATTTAAACATAATAATCATTTTTGAAAGCTGTCCCTAATGACAGCTCAATTTTTCTACAAATGACTTAAATGGAAATGGATTATTTCTTATCTCATTTGTTTTTTGTTTTTTAATCTTCATGATTGTTGCTGTTGCTATAAGTGCCATCGAGTCGCGATCAATCTTCATGATTGTGGAGAGTTAAATTATCTCTCTTAATTAATTATATGATGGTCTGGGTGTAAAATGTAAACATTATTGATTCAGGAGAGAACATCTGTTTGTATAAATAAGCCGAGCATGAATTCAGCTTGGCATCATCAGTTTAGTGCTATGTATAAATACGGAATGAAAATTATTTACATCAGCAGAAGAACATTGGATTCTCTTTTAATTAAGTAGAAACTTTAGATTACTTGCTTGATAACTTAAAACTAGATAATATTACCTTTGTCCTTGTTCTTCATATTCAAGTCTGTTCAGAATAAATTTGTTGAAATATTGCTTCCATAACACTTTGCGTTGGTCCCAATGCATTATACCTTACAAAGAATTTCTGTAAACGTAAATCTATACAGAACTGAAAGCTAACAGATATAAGAATTGACATCTCTCTTTCTGCTTCTTGGAAGTTTGTGAAAGAATCTAAATAATACCAAAATAGCTGTGATTTAAATTAATAAAGAAACATATATGCTTTTTTAGAAAACGTTCTGTTAACTTTTTTTTTTTTGCATTAAATGTTCTACGCTGCATAATGATGGGCTGGAAAAGGAAAGAAAAATCATGCTCCTGGATATTTTTAATTGTCTACCTGCTCACCTTTTCCCTTTTGTACCATGGCAGCATGAAAAGGCCATCTCTATGAAAATGGGAGCATGTATCATCTCTCTAGTCTAAAGGATGCATCAAGTATCCAAATTCATAAGCTTCCAAAATGAGCATGGTCACCATCCTTAAATGGGCTCTTTGGTGTGACATATGCTGTGAGTTGGAAACAGTGGGAAATGTTGACCTTGGTAAACAATTAGCAACAGTAATACTATTTGCCAATTTGGGGATTGACCCAGTTATATGTGTTGTATTTGAATTGTGAGGCAAGATTTAGAAATTATATGGGATTTCTAGCTCAATAAGTGGCTGCATATTTGTCATTGTTTCAACTTTTGAATTACCTGTATGTGTTATTTGACATATGTGGTCTTTATCCTCCATTTTAGGTATTCCTTAAAAAATACCAATTCATGGGTTCCCAAGATGTGAGCATTTCACATGAGGAGAGGATCCAGCAGCTTTGTCCCTTACTGTGATGACACTATTCAGAGACTCTGATTTTATTTATCAGCCACTTGTGCATGACCCTCCAAGTAGACCTGTGGCTTGAAGAAAAAAAAAAAAAAAAAGGCAGCAGAAAGAACTCTACAGAAACATCTGGTGTGGTTTTTTTTTTATCTCAGCACTTCAGGTTGGGCTGACCACTTTTGGAGCTGACCCCCTCCATTGCCGTAATATTCTGCTCCCTTTCTCTCTAAGATCTAGGACGAATTCAGATAGATCTTCATGGAATTTCTCATCAAACATATTCAAACACTAATGGATCAGGATTTGATTCTTTGTACTACGTACTAACCTACTAAAATTGACAGACTTTAAAAAACAGATCCCTCAAAGTTTCTTTTCAACACACTAAGGAGGCAACAACATTGTCATTAGACCTACTAAATTCTTAAAATGGAAATCTAATAATCTGGTGACTTAGAAATTTTACTGAAAATGATTTGCCAAAACTGAAATTCTTCAGACGTTTTATACAGTTTCACTAATTCCATACACTGACTCATTGACTGCATCTTACAGGGAAGGATAGTTTTCCCTTTTCTTTTCTTCTCATCTCTCCTTTTTTCTATGTTTTACTTTGTGTGTATAGCATACATGCCTATGTATTTCTATTATGATGGTAGCCCATTTATAAATTAGAAAAGAGCACATTGTATCCAGTAGGTTATAACAGGGCTGCTGTTCTGTGAACCACTATGTCTATATATAGTTTGGGGAACCAACTGTATACATTTTTGGACAACGGTTATCCATATTATTTAACAGAAACTTTTTCTTTAGGGGTCATTTAAAATTTATATGTTCTATGCCAAGAAAAGAAAATGTAGTTTATTCTGCATTCAATTATATTTCATATGCCTTACCTTTTTATTTAATTGTCTCATCCTGATACATGCTGGGGAAAAATTAACTGCAGTGAACATTATTTTCAGGAGCTGTGGTAGCGTAGTAGTTATGAGTTATGCTGCTAACTGCCAGGTCAGCAGTTTGAATCCACAAACCACTCAGTAGGAGAAAGATGAGGCTTTCTGTTCCCATAAAGAAAAAGGTAAAAACCTTGGAAACCCTCTACACGATTGCTCTGAATTGGAACTGACTCAACAGCATACAGCCACTACCACCACTCTACATTGTTTTCAGACACTAGCTCTGATCTAAATAAAGCCGGTTTCCCCCCCTTAGACTTAATTTGAAACATACTTTGACTGTGACTTTGAGCGGGGGCTATGTGGAATGAGGCTGTCTCAAAAGAATGGGAAAAAAAAAACCCTACATTAAAAAATTAGGAGTAAAGCCAAGAATCTCATTAAATCCAAATATGTTATTGCTAGTAAGAAATTAGACTCTGTATTTGGGATGATAAAAAATTCTCTCTGCTTCATGTCATATTGCAGCTAGAAAAACTTTACCAGTTGAAATGTCTTCCTATGAAACCAAGAATTTCTTAAAATATTTAGTATTACATGTTAAAAGAATTTACCTATTTCTACTTAACATGATTTTTAAAAAAATCGTAAAATTAAGAAATATATTATCTCTTATTTCTTCAGTCAGTGTGCAGAAAAAGGGGAAAATAAAAAATAGAAAAGGTTTTGGCTTTTTTGGAATTAATGATAGCTTGCAGTTTTGGTTTTGATTATGCTGTTTATATGTTAATCTCCTGTTGTTTTTTTAAATGTAACTGATGCTTAAGTGACTTAAATATTATTGAAAAGTACTATGGAATTATTACTCGGTGGCAAGGTACTTTTGAACATAGTTACTTTTCTACAAAGGGGGTTGACTTCATTGTAAATAACTGAAAATCTCTGTTCAAATAATTTTAGGGTTAATTTTTAAATAAACTATAATATTTATAAATTATTTTTGAAATTGTACGTGTTGCTATTTAATGATAAATTTGCATCGAATTAATTGGTCCTTCATTCATACTTGCATTTCTCATTTATAAACTTGAGCTGAGATCAAACTTAGCTTAAGGAAAGTGTCTTAGGAAATGTGAAACTCAGCTCTTAGCACTTGATCGGATCCATTCTTAAGAATTGGGTCTGGATATGATGGGTACCTCAATCCCTGTAATAAAAGAGACCACTTGTCTCATAGTGTTTTCAGGAAATCCGTTGGCCAAGGTCATTGGTGTCTCATATGACTAACCATGACATGCTATGGTTTTTTTTTTTTTTTTTATTGTTTTATTGTGAATTTCCAGCTTATTTCCTTTTTTTTCTGCTTGTCCTACTCCACAATCCCCATTCAGGCCTTTTTTCTAGTTGTAAAGAGGTCAGAGCTGGCTGTGGCTGTTTGGTTTTAATTGGAAACTGTCTCTTTAAATTTTGGGGAGGTCTGTGCACATACGTCGTAGAACCCTCCCAGGGTGGGGCTGGGGTGCCCACTGTCTCAGGCACCCCTGTAGTCACCAGAATGGAAGTGCTCAGACCGCAAGGGACCAATGAACAGCTACCAAAATGTAAGAATGTCCACACCTTTATCTCCTTGGTTCTGCCAGGAATTTGTGGCCGCTGCAATTCTTCCCCGGCTTGGTCTCACTCAAGATGGCGGCTCCTGGAGCAGCTGAGCGTCCTGAACTAGAAAGCAATGGGTTTCTTGCTTCTGTCACAAATTCCCCCAGCTGTAAGCCTTCCAACCTTCTAAATATTCCTTTTTATGTGGTTCAGAGTTCTGGGACCATCCCCTGAGCCTGCTTGGTCAGGTATTTTGTGTTGTTGCTGATGGAGCTCCTTACTGCATGTCCACCCAATCCGCCATCTTGTTTGTTCTCCTCTGTAATCTTCACTTTTAATTAACTGTAAATCTAATTCATATGACGGTGGAGTATTTACAAGTTCACAGTCTGCATCACTTCTTTCTCAACAGGAAAGCAGGCTTTTTTTTTCTTTTAAGAGCATCCCTGTCTTTTTTATTTAGCTTTTGAAAAAAGTAAAGGCAATACTGTTCTTTTAAGAATTGGAAAAGATTTATTATTCAAAGACCTAAAATATTAGTAACACACACACAAACTTGCTATTGAGTCTTTCCCAACAGTGACCCATATGTATCAGAGTCGAACTATACTCCATAGGGTCTTTAATGACTGATAGTTCATAAATAGATCTCCAATCCTTTCTTCCTAAGTGGCTCTGGATGAACTCAAACCTCCAACTTTCCAGTTAGCAGCTGAGCATGTTAATCATTTTCACCACCCAGGGACTCCCCAAAACAATACTGGGCACCATTTATATAATGGGAGTCCTGGTATGGCACTGTAGGATTAGCACTAGACTGCTAAATGCAAGGTCAGCAATTCAAACCCACCAGCTGCTCCTTGAAAACCCTATACAGAGTTGTTAGGAGTTGACCCTGACTCAACGGCACTTAACAACAATGCATATGGTGAACTTGAAATATAAAACACATGTTAGTTATTAAGTCCTTTCCAATTCAGGGCGACTCCATGTGTATAGAGTAGACCTGCTCCACAGGGTTTCAGCTCTGCTGAAACTTGTCCACCATGAGTGACCCTGGTGGTATTTGAAATATTGGTGGCATTAATTTGAGTAGCACCGCAACACACAAGCCATCACAGTATGACAGGTAGTGGGTGGGTTTACCCTTCTGGTTTTCTAACTCCAGGTTTTTGCACATTTCGAAACTACCAGCCATTCTGCAGGAGAAAGATGAGGCTTTCTGCTCCCGTAAAGATATGCTGACCTTAAGGTTAGTAGTCCAACTCGTAACCATTATGCTACCAACATAGAGATGCTAAAACTAATGAAAGAATTAAGGAAGGGAAAGAGTTGAACAGAAAATTTCAAAGGTCAGCTTGTGAAGACAAAGTCAAATATTATGATGAAATGTGCATTGCTCAAGCTTAAAGAGTTGAAAAAAAATTCAAGCCTCGACTTAAAATATTGAAGGATCCTCTGGGAGAAACAGCGAACAATGCAAAAATCATCAAAAGAAGATGGAAAGAACACACAAGGTCCGTGTAACAAAAGGAAAGCATATGATCAAGACCAATTGTACTGAAGAAAGAAGTCCAAGGTGCACTGAAGGCATTGGCAAAGAACAAGGCTCCAGGAACTGATGGAATACAAACTGAAATCTTTCAACAAACTGATGAAGCATTGGAGGCACTCACTCTTCTATGCCAAGAAATTTGTAAGACAGCTACCTGGCCAACAGACTGGAGGAGATTCATATTTGTACCCATTACAAAGAGAGGTGATCCAAAGGAATGTGGAAATCAATAAATAATATCATTAATATTACATGTAAATAAAGTTTTGTTTTCGAGAACTCAAAAACAGTTACAACTGTTCAATGACAGAGAACTACTAGAAATTCAAGTGCAATTCAGAAAAAGACGTGAAATGAGGGATATCATTGCTGATGTCAGGTGAAACTTAGCTGAAAGCAGAAAATACCATAAAGGAGGTTTATGCTTTATGGACTATATAAAGGCTTTTGACTGTGGTGATCATAACAAGCTATGCACAACATTGAGGAGAATGAATATTCCAGAATACTTAATAGTGCTCATGAGGAAACTCTGAGATAGTTATTAGAACAGAACAAGAAGACAGTGAATGGTTTGAAATCAGGAAAGGTGTGAGCTTGGGTTATATTCTTTCACCATACTTATTTAATCTGTGTGCTGAGCAAATCACCCAAGAAGCTGGGAGGATTGGAGGAAGACTGATTAACAACCTGTGATATGCAGATGACACATCTTGCTTGCTGAAAGCAAGAGGACTTTAAATACTTACTGATGAAGATCAAAGACCACAGCCTTCTTTATGGATTGTACCTCAGTGTAAAGAAAACAAAAATACTCACCACTGGACCAATAAATAGCATCATAATAAATGGTGGAAAGATTGAAGTTGTCAAAAATTTCATTTTGTTTGGATCCACAATCAAGAGTCATGGAATTAGTAATCAAGAAATTAAAGGCCATATTGCATTAGGCAAATCTGCTGCACAATTCCTCTTTAAAGTGCACCTGACCCCAAACCATGGTATTTCCAATAGCCTCATACGCATGTGAAAGTTGGACAATGAATAAGGAAGACCATAGAAAAATTGATATA